CACTGATATGTCATAAAAACATGCCATTTTATCATAATGCCAACCTTTACCTGTGTGTTCACAAAAGACTATTTTAAAGATAGCTGGGCCTCAAGTCACATTAAAGTGGTTGCATATTAAAGTGAAGGTAGCAATTACATATTTCTATGGATGCAGTACAGACTCAATCAGTCACATGATTTCCCTCTTCAATTATATTGTGTAAACAGCCAACACACTCAAGCATTCTAAGACACAAAAACAGGAAGTGAAATGCATTGAATACCTGTCGTATTTTAAAAATGTGCAAAAAGTGGAATAAATGGACTTAAATATTTTTTAACTGAAGTATCACAATCTATAAAAGTTGATTGCAGTCTGTGGGGACTTGAACAGACTACCCTATGAACAAAAGTAAAATCACCAACAGCAACGTGTGGATTTCTGCAGTTAACTCAATGTATGGATTTCTCAATTTCAGAGAGGTAATTACAAGGAAGGCTGACAGTTTTGCCATCATTACTACTTTAAAATCTGAGCCAATGTATATTTAATTTAGCAATGTCTCAGGGCATTTTACAAGTATACTATTGAAAGAAATTGAGCCACAAAACAGTCATTAGGATAAGGACCAGAACCTTTGTGCATAAGAATTGTCATAAAGGAAAAGGGAAAGCTAGAGGCAGAGTGGTTTACTGAAGGAAGTCCAGTAAATTTTATTCCTCAGATAACACATATGGAGACTACTTCCTAGGGTACAGTAGTCCAAATACTGGCATCTGACTTTATATTATCCTCCCTTTGTGATATTGTACATGAGAGTATCTAAGGAAATAATAGGGCACTAAATACCCCCAAATAGTAGCTGACGTGTTTACGCAAGTTTTTTCCAAACAATCTCTCAAACTCTAATATAATGTTCAGTGCAGTGTTAAGATTTTGTTCAATAATTTTAAAACTCTTGAACTGCATTAATTAAACGTAGTAGGTTACATAATTCAGAAATGTGTGAACGTTTATGGAAGGAACTTTGACTCCATATTTGGAAGTCAATTTTAATTAGAAGTTAACAAAAGGAGATAGATATAGTTATTAGGTTAAAGGAATCAAAGGGTATGGAGGGAAAGCAGGAACAGGGTACGGAGTCGGATGATCAGTCATGTACATATTGAATGGCAGTACAGACTTGAAGGGAAAAACGGTTTACTCCTTTTTTTTAATATTTCTATGCAAAAAGGAGAGTTTGGCAGGAAAACAAACAGAACAGCTACGCTCTTCACATCTATTAATAAGTGACATGGAACAAAATATTTCACTAGTCGTATAGGAAATCAATGATGCAATTACCATCCCCTTTTACAATCTTAAAAATGCTTAAAGGAGATACATAAAACTCTGCTGATTAACTCCAACGTCAGTACAGGTCAGCAGGGTTTCCAAGCATGCCCAACATTAAGTCACAACTTGGAGGAAAAGATAGGTTGTTCACTTAGCTAATCTGATTGCTGACTCAAGGTTGAAGAAGAGAATTCTATAGATTATCCACACTTGAGAAAAAGGCTTCTTCTCGTTTCAGTCTTAAATGAAAGACCTTTAATTTTTAAACAACGTCCCCTTGGTCTAAACTCTGCCCACAAGGAGGAATATCCTCTCATCCCTAAACTGATTAGCAAGTCAGAGACATGCATCTTTAGATCCTTAAATCCTTAGATTTTGGAAAAGTCCTAGAGGATTAGGAAGTTGCTCATGTAACCTTTGTTCAAAAAAGGGTAGGAAAAAAATAAAGGTAACTACAGCCTGTTAGCTTAACATCTGTTATTGGGAAATTGTTAGCATCTATTACAAAGGATGTAATAAGGTAAAGCCATAAACCTACATGACCATTCGGCTGCTCTCTCTGAGAGAGCGAGAGCGAGAGACACAACTGATGGTGGTTTAACCTGAGGATCAACACACCTCACGCAAGGGGAGAGGTTAAGAAGAAGAGTCCTTCACAGTAACTTACTGAACTCAGGCTGCTGACAGCACTCTGCATTACAACGTAGCAGTCCAGCCAACTGAGCTGACCAACCCCATAAAGGATGTAATAGCAGAGTGTTTAGAAATACACATAACATGATCAGGCAGAGTCACCATGGCCTCAAAAAGGGGAAATCATGCCTAACAAATTTATTAGAATTCTGAGAGGTGGTAACAAGCAGGATAGATAAAGGGGACCAGTGGATAGATATACAGCAAACTTTGTCGTAACCGGCACCTTATGAACCGGCACTCTCGATAAACCAGCAAAAAAACCGCTGAAATACCTGTATCATTGAGATCTCCACCATGGTCTGAGTAGTCAGTTAAGGGTGCAAGTGAGAAGACTCTCTGCTGGTAGGTCTTATTTAAGGCAAATCTACATCATTATTTAAGTGGTTTATGCTGTAAGTAAAGTACAACAGTGATTGGTATACACCTTGCATCATATTTCTATTACTTGGTGTGTGTTTTTACATTGATTATGTTGACCTCTTGATCAACTGGAATATTTGATCAATCAGCATACTCCTGGGTGCTGGTTAATAAAATGTTTGCTGTATTTGGATTTTTGAGAGGGGGCTTGAGAGTGTACCACATGCTTGTTTATGTGATAAGATTAGCATAGATTGAGGATTGGCTATTTAATGGAAGGCAGAGAGTTGCGATAAAAGGCATTTTCAGGATGGTAACATGTGAGTGGTGGGGGCACAATTATTTATAATAATTGGATGAGGAAAGTGAATGTACTACAGTAAATGTTTGTGGATGACAAAAATAGGTGGAAAGGCAAGCTCAGAGGATGACACAAATAGTCTACAGAGGAAAATATACAGGTTAAGGGAGTGGGTAAAAACTCGGCAGATGGAATATAATGTAGGAAGATGTCAAGTTATGCACTTTGGCAGGAAGAATAGAGGAGCTGACTATTAGTTAAATTTAGGAAGACTACAGAACACTACAGCACAGAGCAATTTTGGGGTCTTTGTACACTAATCAAAAAAAAAAGCCAGTATCCAACTTCAGTAGGTAATAGGGAAGGCAAATGGCCTGTTGGCCTTTATTTCAAAGGGAATGGAGTATAAAAAGAGGGAGATCTTCTTAAAACTATACAAGGTTGTAGTCAGACTGCACCTGAAACATTAAGAATTTCAGGAAAGATGCAATGGCATTGAAAGTGATCCAAAGAGGGTTCTGTAGGTTGATTTTGGATATGGAGTGTCAGTCTTATGAGGAGAGGTTCAGTAGGTTGGGCTTGTACACATTGGAGTTTAGAAGAATGAGAGGCAAGCTTATTGAAACATATAAAATTCTTAGGGGATTGGACAGGTAATTGCAGGAAGGTTGCATCCAATTGTGGGAGGGTCTAGGACCAGAAGTCAAAATCTCAGAACGAAGGGTCACAGTCAGCAAAGACTGACCTCCAGTTAATGAACTTTGATCTGGAGATCATCTAGCCGCAGAAAAATATTACAGAGGTTGTTGCCATGGAGACATCGTGTCCAACAGTACCCTCATACAACAGCTTTCTTTCTGCATTTCTCCATGGGATGCGGGCATTGATGAGCTGTCATAGTTCTATCAAGCTAACTATTACTGATTTCACAATTGATATGATATTGGTGAGAACTTGTGCACAAAATGGCTGCCGCATTTATCGGATTACAAAGCAATTACAAATCATTGGAATAAATCTGTGAAACAAAATGGTCCATTTCAAGAGATATAACAATTTGTCATTAAAGCTGTCACTCAGCTGTTCACAATATACATTAACGATTTAGACAAAGGAATAGAATGCCATATCTCCAAATTTGCAGATGACATTAAGCTGGGTGGCAGTGTGCACTGTGAAGAGGATACTAAGAGGCTGCAGGGTGACTTGGATCGACTGGCTGAATGCCCAATATTTGGCAAACCCAATATAATGTGGATAGATGTGAGGTTATTCACTTTGGTCATAAAAACACAAAGACATATTATTATCTGAATGGTGGCAGTTTAGGAAAGGGTGAGGTGCAATGAGACCTGGGCGCCTTAGTGGAGCAGTCGCTGAAGGTTAGCATGCAGGTGCAGCAGGCAGTGAGGAAATCTAATGACACGCTGGCCTTCACAGAGAGAGATTTGAGTATCGGAGTAAAGATATCTGGCTGCAGTTATACAGGGTCTTGGTGAAGCCACACCTTGAGTATTGTGTGCAGTTTTGGTCTCCTTGTCTGAGGAAGAACATTCTTCCCATTCACAGAGTCCAGCAAAGATTCACCAGACTGGTTCCCAGGATGGCAGGACTGACATACGAGGAAAGACTGGATCGATTGGGCCTGTACTCGCTAGAATTCAGAAGAATGAGGGGGGATCTCATAGAAACACATAAAATTCTTTTGGAACCGGACAGGCTAGGAGCGGAAGAATGTACCTGACATTGGGGAAGCCCAGAACTACGGGTCAGAGTCTAAGAATGAGTGGTAAACCATTCAGGACTGAGACGAGGAAGAATTTCTTCACTCAGAGTTGTGAACCTGTGGAATTCTCTCCCACAGAAAGTGTTGGGGTCAATTCATTAGATATATTCAAGAGGGAGCTGGACATGGCCCTTGGGGCTAAAGGGATCAAGGGGTATGGGGAAGAAGGTGGGAATGGAATTCTGAGATTGTATGATCAGCCATGATCGTATTCAATGGTGGTGCAGGCTTGAAGGGCCGAAAGGCCTACTCCTGCACCCATTTTCTATATAAAATGCAGGCTCTTTCTTCTGACATGTTATTACGTATTGAAGGTGAAGCCAATTGCTAAAGAACTCATTGTGGATGCCCGAAATTTATAAAATTTGGCTTTGATAAGAACTATAAATACCTATGCGTCAAAACGAAAAGAATATAGCAACATAATCTGTAAAACTTCAAAATCAATTACTGAAACAGAATTCCAATCTAATGTAAAACAAACAATTTTAAATGTGCAACTCCAACATGAAAAGAATCTTGGAAAACCTGATTACTTACAAGTGTGTCTAGCCAGGGAATAGTTGCTCCCTCCACTGGTCAGTCCAAAGCCCTCTGGCACCTGATTGGTGTTCCGGGTGCGAGTGGGCAGCTTTGGAGGTTCAATCTCAGCACCAAATTCTGCTCCAATGACACCAAGAAGGACAATAGCTGTAGCCTGCTTGCGGCGCTCCTCGTATGATGATGATGATGATTTCTTTGTCTGGGCAAGTAAACCTGGCAAGCAGCCTAAAATAGAAACCAAAGACAATGGTAAGTATGTTAATGTACATACAGTATTGCTCATATTATCCCAGAGTAAAATGTATAGGAATTCAAATAAATGAGAAGCTCCTTTCTCAGATGCTCTTCCTATCTAGGGGTTATTTCTGATCTGACACATTTTCAGATGGCAAATGTTTCAGGAGATGGACAGGCATCAGGACTTCTGCAAAGCTTGACCAAAAAAATGACTGACTATTGACATTTATTAATTTTATTGTTTTGAATGATATTTTTAAAAAGTTATTTTTAAACATTGATTCCTGGTCACAGAAAGAGAATTATTTATCTGAAAGAGTACAAATATCAAAACAGATGAAGTTAAGGGTCATCTCCATCAATACCACTTGAGTTTCTACATTGCATTTGAGTCACCAGCACTCACTACTTCCACAACAGCATATGAATTAGGAGTAGGCCATCTAGACCCTCGCACTGGCTCCACCATTTAAGAAATCTTAGAATTATAGAATCCCTACAGTGTGGAAGCAGGCTATTTGGCCCATCAAGTCCACACCAGCCCTCCTAAGAGCATCCCATCCAGACCCACTTCCCCTACCCTATTTCCTGTATGGATAATCCCAACTTACACATCCCTAGAAACTCTGGGCAATTTAACATGGCCAGTTTGCCTAACTTACATATATTTAGACTGTGGGAGGAAACCGGAGCACCCGGAGAAAACTCAGTCAGACACAGGAAGAATGTACAAACTCCACACAGACAGTCAACAGTTGGTTGAACTGATTGTGGCCTTAACTCCATTTGCCTCGCTGCCTCCTCATTACCCTCAACACCCTTGTTGATTAAACATCTATCTAACGTGGACTTGAATATATGAATGACTCAATCTTTACTGCTGTTTGGAGGAGGAAATTCTAAAAGCTAACCACCCTCGTATAATAGAAATCATCTCAACTTTAAATGGGACATCCTTAATTTTTAAACCAAGCCCCCCACCCGCCGACCTAAATTCCCCCACAATGTTAAACACCCTTTCACCATTCAACCTGTCAAATCCCTTCAGGATCTCCAGCAAAAACAGAAATTGCTGGAGAAACTCAGCAGGTCTGGCAGCATTTCTGGAGAGAGAAAGAGTTAATGCTTCAAGTCCAGTGACCCTTCTTCAGAACAGATCTCAGAATCTTTAAATTTCAATAACAGCAGCTTCTGTTCTCATAAATTCCAAAGTACATAGGTCCAACCTACTCTGCTCAATCTTGTCTCATTAGGTAATACCTTAGTTTGAGGAATCATCTCATCTGAAATGCTCCTAATGCAACTATGCACTTTATTCAGTAAGGACACCAAAACTGTACACAGCACTCTAGATGGCAACTAACAAATAGCTTCGTACAGGTGTAGCTGCACTTCCCAACCTTTCCTTCTCACAACAAACACACCAAAATTCCACGTTTCTTCCGAATCACTTTTTGTATCTGCACACTAGTATTTTGAACTCTTGCATCAATACACCCAGATCATTTGCACTGTAGTACTCTGCTGTCTCTTTCCATTTAGATAATACCTTCTTTAAAAAAAAACATTTCTGCCAAAATGGAAAAATTCTTACCGTCCAATTTTTGCCTAATCACTTAACTTGTAGACTCTATTTTCTTGCCAACTTGCTTTCTTACCCATCTTTGTATTAATAACAATTTTTTTTAGCATACATTTAGTCTCTTTATCCAAGTCATTAATATGAATTGTAAATAGTTGAGACCCAGTACTGAACCCTGTGACAAAACACTACTACAAAAGGAAGGAAACATTGATAAGTCACAATTCTTTGCAACTGATTTACAAGTGGACCTAGTATCTCAACATAGGTCCATTAATGCATCTGCAGATTCAGAAATCTCATTACTCAGCAGAGAACCTTCAGCATTCATTCTTTTCATGGTTTTCCTAATTTCTTCCCAAATAAGGGAATGAGGGGAGTAGTGGTAATGTCACTGGGCTAGTAATTCAGAAGCCAAGGAAAATGCCCTTGGCTATAGGTTCAAATTTCAGCACGAGTGGTGAGGCAGTTTTAACTCAATCAATCAACGTGGAAAATAAATTTAGTCTCAGTCATGACGACCATGAAATGACCATTGATTATTGTAAAAGAAATTTGGTTCATTAATCCTTTAACGAAGGAAATCTTTCATTCTTATCTGATCTGGCCTTGCAAGCTACCGTTTGAGGGAAATTACAGATGGGTAATATATGTTGCTAATGATGCCCACACCCCTTGTGAGAATTTTAAAATAATGTAAATGGCAGAGATTTCCAGAAGAGGTATGGATCAGAAGCAGGTCAAATAATGCCAGTATCAGCACATTTATATTCCAACTTAAGAGGTGTGCTAACACAGCTGAAGTGCATAGGTAACTCCCCGTTTAATACCAAAATTGTGTCAATAATATAAGATTTGATTTTTTTTGACAAGGAGGGTAGGATACAATCTAAGTCTCAAAGGTTCTACTTTACACTTGTGAAATAGACAACTTACATTTATATAACACACCTATCATTAAAAAAAAACCTCAAGGTGCAAACAGAATACAGGTGAGCATTCAACCATCCACGCCTCATTTCTAATTCATGCCTTGCATCAACAAATTCATCATCACAGCAATTTTTGAGTACCTAAAGATTGAGGATAAATTGAACATACATTTCAAGGAATAGGTTTCTTCATGTGGATTTCCTAAAACCATTAAGTCCCTAATGCAGACCATTTTAAAGCTAATAGTTTCAAAGTCACTGCAGTGAAATTACTAAGTGAATACTCAACACTTACATTTGACACTTTGATAGTTTAGCAAAAGCATTAAGCTTACATTAAAATAATGGAAAAATGCATGTAATATGAATGTGTTAAGTGCTCTCTGTTAATAGTGCTAAGAGCCATTTTTAGACATATATCAAAGCATGAGGCCCATAACTCTCCGTCAATGTTTTGACCAAAGTATATCGACAAATAATGAGCACTAAGGGCAGTGAAGGGACAGAAGAATACCATATCACATTGACAATATCTTTGTGATAGTAGCACAAACCTTGCATTTTAGAGAAAGTCTTCTCCTTTGAAAGGTGGTGGTAAGTTACCTGCTTGAACTGCTACAGTACACGTGGCGTAGTTATATCTACAACGCTGTTAGGGAGGGAGTTCCAGGATTTAATATGGCACCTTCTCAAAGGAAACTAGGAACGGGCTATAAACGCTGGCCAAGCCAGACATGTTCATAATGAGAAACAAGACATTTGAAAAAAAAGTCATTGGGAATTGTATTATTGACAGGGTACTGGGAGTTACTGAGATAGCAGGAACTGCAGATGCTGGAGAATCTGAGATAACAAGATGTAGAGCTGGATGAACACAGCAGGCCAAGCAGCATCAGAGGAGCAGGAAGGCTGACGTTTCTGGCCTAGACCCTTCTTCAGAAAAGGCTGAGGAGTTACTTATAGGCAATACAAATACAAGGTCCCACTGGTCTTGCAACAGACCTAGTTGGAACGAGCAGCACATTCAAAAAAAGTAATAGGACGGTACAGTGGCTCAATGGTTAGCACTGCTGCCTCAGTGTCAGGGATCTGAGTTTGATTCCAGCCTCAGGCAACTGTGTGTGGGGAGTTGGCACATTCTCCCCATGTCTGCATGGGTTTCCTCTGGGTACTCTGGCTTTCTCCCACAAACCAAAGATGTGCAGGTTGTCTCCCAGTCACCTGAAGTCTGTGTTCTTCAGTCAGTTCATTCACTGACTGCTGTATCATTTACACTGTCTTATTTACACTATTCAAACTCTTATCGATATTGAACACCTCAAATTTAAACCAAACGGTCTCTACCCAAAAGACAGTGACTTCAGATTCTTCAGTCTCTCCAAATTAAGATAAAAAGAGTATTAAAAAAAACTGTAAGAATATCTGAGTATCTTCCCCTTGGGTCACTGCACGCACTAAAACAAAAGCTGCTGATTGTCTACTTAAATCTTTAGCAATCAACTTTGTTCTCTCAAGGATAAATCTTGCATTGGGTCTGGTTCCACATTATCAGTCTATTTTTTCATATATCCTTTATTCAAACATGAACTTTGACATCAAATGGCACAAGTTGGGGAAGAAAATAGAAATTGCTGAAAAGACTCAGCAGGTCTGGCAGCATCTGTGGAGAGAAATCAGAATTCACATTTCCTCAGAACAACTTGGAGATGATTGGGGCGCTGGATGTGTGGAGATAATGTTTAACGGAGTAAAGTACTCAAGCATCATCAAATCATATATTGTAGATTGGGTCACTAAGGTTCAACCAGGATGGCAAATGCTGGCAACTTTCCCTCCCTAACACACTGCATGCCCTCACTTTTATACTGATGAGAATGGTTAACTGAGAAAATTCCACTCATAGCCCAGGTAATTCCTCAAAGCTGGACTTTCCTGTTGCATACAGCTCAGCTTCTCACTGTGCATTAAGTATATACAGTCAAGACATTGACAGCTTGTGATATTGTTGAAGTTGTGCATGTCAACATGTCACTCATCGCTGAGTGAAGGGAAAATGCACAACACTGGCCAGGTTTGAAATTCAGGCTGTTAGTTCATTCAGTTAGCTGAACTTAGCTGGGCAGCAGTAGCTATGTTACAGCAAGATTCGCTGACTATAATTAAAAGTGTGGGAAGATCAACCAAGGCTCCTGTTTCTGATTTCTGCCTGGCATTCCTAACTGAAATGTACACATCTTGAGAAAACAGGCCTGAGTTTTTATCTGTGAAGGTGCAGTGAGTCAAATAATCTGTAGTAGTCTGCCTAGGCACACAATGGAGTGGAATTTTATGGTCCCATACTGGCCAGTCCACAGGTATTTGCAGATGAAGTACAAGGCAGCAAGCAGCAACTGTTCACTAAATTATACTCCAATTTTTTCCAGAAAGGAGGGGAGAAGTTTAGCAGTGGTTGGAAGGGTTAAAGGAAAATAAAA